ATACATATATATACATATATATATATGATTTCATTTATTTTGATTTCATGAATAGATAGATACATATTATTTTAAAAAACAGATTAATAAGCTTAAATTAGTTGATTCTGCATTCCGAGACTACATTTTTACAATATTCCACATGTTATATCCTGTTACTTGGATAATTGAAATTCTGGAGTCAGACTGGTTTTGAGTCTTGACTCCACCAAGTTACTGGTGCTTCCTGAGTATCGATATCTTCATTTTAAGAATGGAAACAAAAGGAATGTATGATATATAGTGCATGCTCTTTACACATCAAGGAGCCCTGGTGGAGCAGTGGTTAAAGCATTTAGCTGCTAACCAGGAAATTAGTGGTTTGGACTCCCCAGTCACATCATGTGGTAAGGATGTGACAGTTTATGGAAACCTTATGGGACAGTTCTACTTTGTCCTGTGGAGTCACTGAGTCAGTATCAACTCCATGGCAATGGGTTTGGGTGTTTTTTGTTTGTTTGTTTCATTTGTGTTGTTTCACACATCAGCTTTCATTATTATTATTGTAATTTGTTATTTTATATTGATAGGACAATGGGGAAATAAATTAGTAGAATGTTATTACCACATGTTTCCTATGAGAAGAATTGTTTCTAGAATAAAATATTGCAGGTTGACATTTTATAGAATGGAGTCACAATCAACTCAATAGCAACTGGTTTTAACCAGGATATAAACCTCCATCTTTGGAAAAGAAGAGACCTTTTATGCAAAAGTGTTCCCCGTGAGCATTCAATTTCTCTATCTATACAAGGGGGATTATAGGAGCTCTGGTAGCATAGTGACTAAGGTACCTGACTGCTAACCAGAAAGCTGGCAGTTCAAACCCACCAGCCACTCACTCCTCGGAAAGAAGGTTGGGCAATCTACTTCCCTAGGGATACCGCCTCAGAAACTCAAGGAGGGGTAGCTATGAGTAGGACCAACTCAACAGCACAGAACAACAGCAACAACAGACATACAAGGGAGATTATATTTTTCCAAACAAATATCAGCTCATATGCTTTGTAGAATTTCAAAAAGGAAAATAATAAGTCATACATGTATAATATTTCAATAATTAAATAACAGTGGCTTAATGAATGTAACTATTTACTTACTCAAATCAACATTTACATAATCAAATTAAAATTAAGTAATATTGCCACCATATAATTTGAGAACATATGTGCTTTCATATATTCTAAGTTAATAAAAAATTACATATATATCTATATTCTCATGAATATTGCTTTGTAAATCATATGTTGGATGTAATAATAAGAAAAAAGATAAATAGAACTCTCAGGAAACAAATTTTGTCCACTAACTGATGATTTCGAAAAGAAGGTTGGGCAATCTATATCCGCAGTGATACCGCTTTGGAAACCCAAGGAGGGGTCTCTATGAGTCATGTCCGACTCAAGGGCACATTAACAACAACAACTAATGATTTGAAAACCATTAATGAGAGGCTCATTTCCCACATAGTATGCTTTTCACAGCATCTTTCACATCTCTGTTTCTCAAACTATATATTAGAGGGTTGAGCATTGGTATTATAAGTGTGTAGAACACAGCAACAATCTTGTTTTGCTGGGGTGAGGAGATGGCCCCAGGTTGAGCATATATGAAGAACACAGTCCCATAGAATAAACTCACCACTGCTACATGGGAGCCACAGGTGGAGAAGGTCTTACTCCTGCCCTGAGTCGAGGGGATCTTTAGGACAGTTGAGAGGATATAAGCATAAGTTATCAAGATAGCAGTTGTTGTAGTGATGATAATAAAAGCAGAGAGAACAAATAGCACAATTTCATTCACAGAAGTGTCAACACATGAGATTTTTATCAGGGCTGGGACATCACAGAAAAAGTGATCCAGTCTGTTTTCTTCACAGAAGCGCAAACTGAAGGTAAAACCAGTTTGGACTATGGCATTAATGCTTCCACAGATATAGGAGCAAGTTACCAACAGAATGCAGACTTTCTGGGACATACGTATAGGGTAAAGGAGGGGAGAACAAATGGCTGAGAATCGATCAAATGCCATCACAGCCAGAAGAAAACCTTCTGTTGTGACAAAGAGAGCAAAAAAGAAAAATTGAGCAGCACAACCATTGTAAGAAATTTTCTTTTCATTCGGTAAGAAGTTGGCTAGAGTTTTGGGAGCAATCACTGTGGAATAGCAGAGGTCTAAATAAGATAAGTTTCTGAGGAAGAAATACATAGGGGTGTGAAGTCTGAAATCCACCTTAATGACAGTTACCATGCTGATGTTTCCCACCACAATGACCATGTAAATTAGCAAGAACACTAGGAACAAGAGGATCTGGAGCTCTGGATGGGTTCTGAATCCCAGCAGAATAAATTCAGTCACCTCTGAGTAATTCCTGTTCAGCTTACTCTTCATGGCTGGAATGTAAGTGCAACTGGAGGGACAGAAAACAAAAGAAAGAAACAAGTAACCAGAATCTTTTTAATTTTAGTAAAAATAACAACTGGTGAACCAGTATGGAAAAAATTTTGCTTCATCATGTTGTTGTTGTTGTTGTTGTCATTTGCCATCGAGTCGGACCTGACTCATAGCGACCCCTCCTTGGGTTTCCGAGGTAGTGCCTCTACAGAAGTAGATTGCCCAACCTTCCTTCTGAGGAGTGGTTGGTGGGTTTGAACCTCCAGCCTTCTGGTCAGCAGTCAAGTGCTTTAGGCACTGTGCTGCCAGAGCTTCATCATATTGTTCCCAGTTATGTTCCAAAACAGCAATGACTGTGAAGACTGGATTACTATATGAACAGGTTTTCCTAGTTAACAGTCAATTTTATTGGTTAACCATTAAATATACCTATTTGCAAATGATGCACATTAGCCCTCTAGGGTATGCTCTGGAAAAACAGAGATTCTGGGAAATATCTGAAACCCACAGTTCTTTTTGATTTCTTGAGTCATTACCAGTTTTCTGCCATTGAAAATTACCTCTCAGAATGAAGGTTATGTCTCACTGATGGTATGAGTCAATTCAGATTTTCATTTAGAGGGAAAATCTGGCTCAATTGATAGTCTCATTTTCTTAACAAAAAATAGTGATTTTAGTCTTCTTTATTTGCTCTAGGAAAATAATATACAATTATATATGTCTTATAGTAAGTAGAAGGAGGGTAGCAGTCATTATAAATCATCCTGATAAATCAAAGTTTTGTCTTATGCTACATTAACCTCATGTCTTTGTTTCTTCCTTAGTTTTGTCCCTACAGCTCTTTATAGGTGCCCTGGTGGCACAGTGGTTAAACACTCAGATGCTAACTGAAAGGTAGATGGCTTGAACCTACCAGCTGCTCCCCAGTAGAAGGATGTGGCAATCTGCATTCATAAAGACTACAGCCTTAGAGACCCAAAGGAGCAGTTCCATTCTGTCCTATAGGGTCTCTATGAGTCAAAATATTTTTTTTGTTGTTTGTTTTAATGGTTGTATGCAGTCTTACTGGCATAGTTTATGTGCTAAAAGTGGAAGTAATTCTTGCTTACATTCACTGAACTCACTGAAATCAGGCTTGTATTATCTTCCTTTCTCCAGTTCTTCTGTTTTTCCTTTCTTCTCTGTTTTTTTCCCCTTTGGATTTTGCAAATTGGAATGTAAATTTAGCATTCTAAGATCTTGGTCAGAGAATTTTCTCTTTTCAGATATGTTGTTGTTGTTGTTATGCACTTTGGAGTCAGACCTGACTCATAGTTACCTTCCTTGGGTTTCTGAGGCGGTATCACTACGGAAGTAGATTGCCCAACCTTCCTTCCGAAGAGTGGCTGGTGGGTTTGAAGCACCAGCCTTCTGGTTAGCAGTCAAGTACAAAGACAAAGATCTATGCATCTGTTGTCACTCTGAGTCAGAGCCAATTTGACAGCACCTAACTACAACGTGCATATGAATAATAGAAGGCACACGGGATAATTCAAGGACAGCTACAAATGAAAAATGCAATAAACATGTATTTACACAAGCTTAAATTGTATTTATTTTGGTTTATGTTATTATGACCATAAAGTGTTCTTAAATAAAATACAGTGGAGAAATAAAGAAAGTAATTTTTATAAATTTTATAAATGGGGAAACTGAGACAAAAATTTAAATCGCTTCTCTGGATTAAGATTGATCAGCATACTGGTTTACCATTCAAACTCTAAAATTTAATGTAAGTTTAAGAAAAACTGACAAATTACAAATTCAACAATTCTCAAAACATGAAAATGTCACATTGTAAATTTTATTGTTATAGTTTCATCAATATTTTGGCATTATTTTAATGCAGTTTGGACCTATGGAAATACATAAAAATCAGTTTGGTTTGGTTTTAAATTCTACTTTTTTAAAAAAAATTTAACATAAATGCTGATTGGTTCTAGAAAGCCAAAGAATGGTCAAAAGAATGGCTGACAGAGCCCATCAACTACAAAACTGCATATTTTACATGAAAAGGTCCTGATTTGGATGGTATAAATGAAAAAAATAAATAAATAAATAAAAGGAAAAATGAAATACAATCTAAAAGAAAAGGGTGTAGGGAATAAACAGTAGGTAAATAGAAGATATCATCAAGAATGAATGCTACTTCTTATGTTATTAAACACTTTCCCGTATGCAAAGTCAAGTGCATGCATGAAGAAACAAAAATATGAAAGGATGCAAACCTTTGTTTAATAAGAAGTCTCTCTGCAACAGATATTGCTTTTCCTCACTGTCAAGATCATGGTTCAATTTACTAAGATAAACAAGCAGTAGTGAAAATTGTACCTTATATCTTTTTATTATTATTATTATTAACATACTTTTTCATTGACTGGACCAACAAAGAGATGTGAGGCGAATCCTCAGAGAAATTCTCTCATGAGGAGAGAAATCACAGTGGTGGACGTACCCACTGCAGGATATTCACCAGGGACTCCCAGTCCCTCTCACCAGTCAAGAGTTTTGTGTTAAACTGCAGAAAGAGAAATGAGAGATGAAATATTAATTAGTAAACTTACAAGGCATTTGGAAATTTAGAAGAGTTCTCTGGAGGACATGTGAGCTAATCTTCTGATAATAGAAAAGAATAATAAAATAAACAAAATTGGATAAAAAGTACTCGATTCTCTTCATGGTTTACACGTTATTTACTATTTTTCATTTTAATTAATTACAATCCTCACTCTGAGCAATTTATTTTCTTATCTCCTTTATAGGTATACCATACTGTAGTTTGTCAAGATTCACTTAAAAACATAGAAACCATTCTAATAAAAACAGGAAAATTCATACAGGGAATAGGCTAAATAATCAATGAAACAACTGAAATAATTAAAACGTAATATTGAAGTGACACAGAGATTAGTAATAGATGGTCCTACCAATGATGTATGATTTCAAGGCACAAGAGGAGGTGGTGGACCTGAAATTTCTCCAAGAGTGAGAGCCACACTGAGTTTGGCTAGCAGAAGCTAGGGCCAAAGTGAAAAAACACCTCAAGAAGCAGACAGAAAGAGAAATAACCTCTTTACATGCTTCTTCAACTGTGCCTTTTAGTGTTGAAATGGCCATAGACAATATGTAAACAAAAGGGTATAACTGAACTTGCTGACCTCTGCTTTAGAGTATAAAAGATCCCTTAACTAAAATTTTAAGAAACAATCTTACCAAAAAAAAAAATTAAATTTCAAGACTCTTCAACAGTTACGTGCTGTGTCTTCATAAGAATTTGGTATCTTCTTGAATCAATTTCTCTACTAATAAAGAATATGGTTTATCTGTCTAGTGTAGATTACATTTTAAAATACTACAAGTTATCTTAGTAACAACAGAATAAAGTTCTAAACTGATATCCACTGAAAATACTGCAGGTTACCCAACACTTTATTTACAAGTAGATACTGGGTTTTAATGAAACAATCATAGAGCTAAAAGACAGAAGTCTCCAAATCACTGAAGGAAACATAAATCTGTAACAGCTTCATGGTTTGAGGATTTTCTGCCAAGTGTTAAAGACTTGTCCTTTTCAATTTTTTCACTTGTCTTTAATTTGTTCATTCATATGTTAACATGATACTACTCAAAATTTCTCATTTCCTGTAATCAGTGATTAAACAATTTCTGCTACAAGAAGACAATAGCTAAGTAAGGCAATGGATAGTTGGTGATAATCATGTCTGTGACTCATACATCAATGAAAAAAAACATGGTATCCTTCCTCAGTTACAGGAAAAGCTTGTAAAAAATATTCCACATCTATTTATGTTATGCTTTATAAACCAATTTTAACGTATTGATTAGATTTTTAAGTGTAATAATGCTTAGTGATTTTTAATGATTATTCTAGGGGTAAACAATATATGCTCTTTCTTAACTTTTCATTGGCTGTTTTAGTTAATAGACTATTAGTTTCATGGGAGCTTTAGAAACCTTTCCACATGTAAGTGTGTTCACCACTGTGCTGCTATGATTATGCTATAGTTGTCATGTGTATATCTATGTGAATTATAAGCCTAAACATAGCTTTATAATTTTGGCTTTAAACACTCACATGTTTTTCAAAGATTTTGTTGTTGTTGTTGTTATGTGCCGTCGAGTCGGCCCCGACTCATAGCGACCCCTCCTTGGGTTTCCGAGGCAGTATCACTATGGAAGTAGGATTGCCCAACCTTCCTTCCGAGGAGTGGCTGGTGGGTTTGAACCGCCAGCCGTCTGGTTAGCAGGCAAGTGTCTTAGCCACTATGCTACCAGAGCTCCCTTTTCAAAGATAGTAACAGAAAAAAAATTGCTTTTATATTTGTTCATATATTTACAAATCCCTGCATTTTCCATACATCTCTACAGATTCTAGTTCACTGCTATCTCCCTTTAGTGTGAAGAATGTCCCTTAGCATATCTTGGAGTGAATATTTGGCATAATGTATCCTCTTGGTTTTCCCTTATCAGAAAAGGGCTTTACTTTTCCTTAAATCTTAAATTGTATTCTTCCTGGATACAGCATTTTGATTCCGTCCGCAACACACACAACCTTAAAGCACTTTAAAGACATTGCTTAACTAACTTCTGACTTCCACAGTTTCTGAAGACAATTCTATAGTTATTAGAATTGTTCTTCCCCAATATAAAACTTGACATTTTCTCTGGTAACTTTCTGTTTTTCTTTCCTTTTTTATTCTTTTTTCTGATTTCTTTTAGGTTACATCACTTTAGTATGCCATTTTCATTTATATGCTTTTACAAATCATTTTTGTTTTTATCTGTTATGACTACACGGAACCCTAGTGGTACAACAGTTAAGCACTCAGCTGCGAACTCAGCGATTGGAGGTTGAGAACCATGCGGCAGCTGTCCAAAAGAAAAGACCTGGCAATCTGCTCCCATAAGGATTACAACCTAGAAGACTATGGAGCAGT